ATGGTCTAGATATAAATTCATAATATTCGTTATTAATAAAAAAATCGACTGTGAGAAATGATTCTGCAGGAGAGTGACACCGCATAAAATTTAGACCCGAAGGGTCACCCTACTACTTCTAGGAATATTGTGATACTCGGTATTTCTATTTCTTCTTTCGGTAATTAATAAGCTTAATTGATCATCAGTCCATATAACTAAGTTTCTAACACGACTCAACCATGACTCTACAGCGATACACCCATTTTTCATAGAATTATATAGAAAAAAATACTGCAACTCAACCACGACTCAACAGTGGATTAGTTTATTACCCGACACAACCAAATTAATCGTTGGATAATCCTGTAATCACGGTATAACATCCTAAAGAAGTATGATTTTTGTCTTATCTCAGACCGAGCGATACATACCCACTTTCTTTTTGAATAACTAGGGCGGACATTACATCTGAAATTTCATATGGGATAAAAATCAAAAGGAGAGGTAAGTGGCTAGAATTACATTAAAAATTTATTAATATACACACATTAAACAATGATCCAAAGGATTGAGTCTTTGACTTTCCGATTTTCTGTAATATACAACGTAATATATAAAAATCAGATAAGTGTATGAAACTAATTTCAGGTATGATGATCAATTCATTCACGAATTAATTAGTATGAACCAGGAGAGTCAAAGACTCGATCCAAAGAATCATCACCCAATCTTCTGTTGTTCTTGATTTTATAGACTTCTTCGATTTTTTTTTTTGGTATAATATGTGTATGTATTATGAAGTAATAGCACTTATGTGCCTAATCGAACATCTGTATTACGCTCGATTTTATTACTAGTATTACGGCTTTGGGAGAGCAAATATTTGTTTATTATTTACAGGAGAGTAATATTAATGTTATGTGTGTTCTATATTACATATATGTTCAAAAAAGACTTGTCTCCTTTACTTCGGCAAGACTTATCCTTTAAATATATTCTCACTTACTAACTTACATATGACAAAATGGAGTAATTGATACTAAACGCTTATTGAATGTAATCATAAAGAGAAAATATAAAAAAGAAAGATGAAGTAATTGTTCTGTAATCGGAGCCAGGTAACTGTACGATCATCGAAATATAATCATCGGCTACGTAATTCACGTGGCATCGATTAAATCGGGCAAATTTTATCTGAAGACAAAATTTCTGTCACACTAGACATATCGAAAATTTACCAAAGAATAACAGGTAGATAGTCTCCCCATCTTACATGTAGAGTTTCAATCCATAAACCATTTATCCATTTATCTATTGGATATCTGATATCTAATAATAATTGGATAAGATGAGTTAAATGAATGGATATCCGAATAATCCGATAAATTATCCGGATTATATACTGTTTTTTAATTAGGATCGATGTAGGGCAAACATTTTATTGATCGAAGTACTATTTATTCCCTGCAACGGTGGGAATAAGAGATATATCCCCATTATTTGGGCCCAAAGAGTCCCAGTGGGCTGGGTTATTTCCCCGTTTGTGGGGAATAAGGGTATTGTTATTCATTTTTATATGATATTATAATGGGCTTTACAACTCATGGTCACTATAATCAATAAAAAAAATGGGGTTTCTTGTGATACAAGTTATTTCCTCAGCAACGTTTGTTTTTTCCCAAAATTCTGGAGAAATAACAAACTTTGCTAGGAAAATAAGGCCGCTTGAAGTTAAACTTTTATTTATCGTTATCTTCCTCCATCTCTTGAGCTCCCCCCTAAAATTAAACAAATAAAGGTGACAAATTAGTCAGTGTAATAGTCAGCACAGCGATCAGAATTTTTCGATTATATTTGGGATTTTTCGGTATTCTATATATTTATTTTTTATGTTTGTTTAATTCCCTCTTCGTGAATACGAAAAAAAAAATACAGTAAGGTTAAACAAACTTTAACTGCATGCGGCCTAGCTTGCACCCGTTTTTTTTACTAATTAGTGATTATAAGTTGTAAAACCCCATATAGAAACATGAAATAGCCATTTAATATACAGAACTTAAATCATTGTACCTGTTAATTTTAACATTTAATTTCTGCATATTAGTTAATATGTTTGCAGACTTAAATTATAATTCCTGCATATTTAGTTACATCTTTGTCTACAAATACGAATGCTAGTACACCAAAAGTTCCACCACAAGCTACGTCTCAACTTACTGCATTTATGCAAACAGTACTTCAATCTGTTAATCCAATACAAATATTGGCTATTCAAGAACATTTGTGCCATCCTCAGGTGGCGGCTCATATGTCTATCAAGCAAAAAAATACATTAATTAGTCAATTAACGATAATCCATCAGTTGTTAATGTCGACACAATTAGCACAACAGAAATCTCAGCAGAAATCAGTTCATTTACGAACACAGTCTCCTGCAATGAAAGTTAAATAGTTGTTAGACATGAAGTCCTGTTAGAGTTTAAGGAAACCAAAAATGATAAATGGTTGTTTCCAAAAGATGCAATACTAGAAGCATTGTCAATGTCAGAACTTTATGATGTAAGGGTCACTTATGTATTTTCAAGCTTTAAGTAAACACAACTAATTATTAGACTTATCGACAAATTCTTGGATCAGAATTATGGGAAAATATAACAATAAAGATTTAGACTTTGGCTTTGTGTTATAGTATGAGCGACACTGTTTCTACCAAAAAAAGATGTTTGTTCTGTCCAATTTAGCAACTTTTTGTCCAATCGCCTATAATTAATGAATCAATGTTATAGCAGTTTCATTAACAATATATA